TTCTGGTTTACATGGATGAGTATATATGTAATTACTAGGGATATTCATTTCGGTTATTTTTCCTAACTGACAGCCGACTCTCGTTAACCGATTATTAACCGTTAACTGACAAGATTATTTTAAATTAGAATTGAATTAAATTAGAAAGGATAAGTGTCTGTGACCCATTAAAAATACTAACATTTGTTTCCCGGCATTAATTTTACATGCGCAAAAAGCAGCGAACAACAGAACATGAGGATTCACATGGTCTTCATATCACATCGCGCACCTGCAGTGCTTCTGCGAGCAGAGAAAAACATAATAAAGCTAGGCTATATATAAACAAATAAATAGGCCTATACGAGAAATATATCTTTACTTAAATAATAAATTAAGAAAATGAAAGAAAAACTGTAACAAGTAGCCTAGTATGCAGAGTTTCGGTTCATTTTTGTGCTGCGCGAAAGGAAACCAGATGGCGGAAAGCGGCATCCTATTTTTCTTTAGGCTTATTTTACAAAAGAACAAAGATTTGATTTTATTGTGAACGTTCACAAATAAAGGCAAACCTTTTACAATTACGATTATCTTTGACAAAAATGAGTAGTTTCTTCCACTGTTAGAAGGAAAAAATTCAAGTGATTGCGCCGGTGCCGCATGCGCGCACACAGTAAAGCTTTGCTACCTTGACAATGCAGCCTGTTCATTATCATAATAAAATACTGTCAGTCAAACATATGGGGAAAAAACACACTGCTCAGTTTAAATATGTAGTAAAATCTGTGCCGTTAACTGTTATCACTGTATCACCGTTATGCAAAACATTTTGTTATACGTGGCTACATAATAAATAATAATTTGCCATTCAAATACATCGCGAATACGGAAACATTTGATTTTGTGTGGAATGAGAGACCCAACGTTGGTTTCAATTTTGTTTTAGCCTAAATTAATTCGTTTTGGCTTGTCGTTTATAGTGCTATAGCTTCTTATATTTTTAATTCTTGTTCTTTTCTAAATACTGTTAATTGAAAGAATTTGTCGTGGAGTGAGGGGAACTAAAATAGCCTAGCTATGTTTACAGTGTTTATTACAATGTTTGTAAACATTTCGCGCCTATTTCTAAATTAAATAATAAAATGCGACTTTTTTTTTTTATACGCATAGCGTATTTTAACCATGCAACAAATTTTTTAAATATTTTGATAAATTACTGGGAAAAATTTTTTTTTTTTAAACTGTTTAACTGATTGTATTAATCGGTCAAAATTATATACGGTCGGTTAACCGGTTAAAATGAACATCCCTAGTAATTACACTTGATTGAAATGTAATTTATCCTGTGTGTGTTTATAGCCACTGGTGCCACAGCTGTGTACCCCATAGACCTGGTCAAGACCCGTATGCAGAACCAGCGCTCTACCGGCTCCTTCGTAGGAGAGCTCATGTACAAGAACAGCTTTGACTGTGCCAAGAAAGTCCTGCGATACGAGGGTGTCTTCGGTTTTTATAGAGGTTGGATTTGTCTTATACTGTCATCGCTGCTTCAGAAGAACGAAATGAAATAAAGTGTTTGTCTTCAGCTTTCCTAACCTTGATCTAATTTTCTTTTCTTCCTGCTCTTTTTTCTGTCTGTCTGTGTGTGTGTGTGTGTGTGTGTTTCCCCTACAGGTCTTCTACCCCAGCTCATCGGAGTGGCTCCAGAAAAAGCCATCAAGCTCACTGTGAGTGTCATTAAACATCCTGTAGAAAGCTGTTTCTGAGCAGATGACAGTTAAGCCAATTATACGAGTCTCTCTGTATCTGTCTTCCAGGTGAATGACTTTATGAGAGACAAATTTACCACAAAAGAAGATACAATACCTCTGGCTGCTGAGATTCTCGCTGGTGGATGTGTGAGTATAATAAACTGCACAGAACTGTTAAACTGGGTTATGTTGTACTTAAATGTCTAAACTTTCTGTGTCTTGTTTTTCCAGGCCGGTGGGTCACAGGTTATCTTCACCAATCCTCTGGAAATTGTTAAGATTCGTCTGCAGGTCGCCGGTGAGATCACTACTGGCCCCAGAGTGAGCGCGCTCAGTGTGGTCCGAGACCTTGGCTTCTTTGGCCTCTACAAGGTGGGGAAAGCGTCTATCTTTAAAACGTTGTATCCTGCCAAATTTGACATTGTAACTCACTGTCATGACTTGGTGTAAACTTTAACACATAAATGTTACTGGTTGTCCTCCTTAGGGTGCGAAGGCTTGTTTCCTGCGTGATATCCCCTTCTCTGCCATCTATTTCCCCGTTTATGCTCATACGAAGGCAAGTATGGCAGATGAGGATGGAAGGGTGGGGCCTCTGCAGCTGCTGACCGCTGGAGCCATCGCAGGTCAGAACATGACTCTCGCTTGAACTTTGTGATGCTGACCCAGTTAAGTTAAGGACTGACACACATACTGTATGTGTGAGTGAGTGGGGATCTATTTTGCTCTTGTTTTAGAGTTTATCCCCTTTATTGCTGTGTGCTTTTTTTCCGTGTCATGGCTGATTTGAAGATTGTACCCCCAAAAATTGCTTTGTATTTTTCGAATTTATCATGAATTTCTTATGGTGATCAATTTCATTCTTTTGATCAGGTTACTATTTTTTTTCCAGTCATGTCCATTATTTTTTTAGTGTTCACATAGCAAGTGCCACAAAAGTCACCAAGTACAATAACATTCTGATAAAGTAAAAGAAATTACGAATTCAAAATTTCATTTGTAAAATGACTGAAGGCTACCAGTGTGTTAAAATAACACTTTTTTTTTTTAAACTTTCATGAAATTAAAATGCACCCTACATATTTTTAAATGCATTATATTGATCTTATTGTGAATAAATAATTTATGTATACATCAAATTTTTCCTTGTAAGTTTTAATCAAAATGTCTTGAGCTCGATCTTCTGAGGATAAAGATGATGTATGCTGGACGACTTCAGTTATTTAGTTTTCTTAAACCCCATCTTCAAGCTTGCATTCATCTGCCTTCAATTTTCCACATCTCACATTCAACAACCGATACTGTCTGCCAAGTTCATACTCTATTTTTTTTTATTTTTTTTTACACTATAACATGGAAGAACAGATCTTCCAATACTTTTTTCAAACACACATCCACAGTGCATGTAACTTAAACGATGTGTCATATTTCTGAACAATTTGATGTTCATTGGAAAATAATATGGAACAAGAACAGTTTGATTTCAGAATTTGAAATGTCAGAAAAATCATATTTTCCCTTAAAATAACACATATGAATGTGTCATGCATGATAAGACTAGATTTTCTATTGCAGATCAGAGATTTTCTTTCATGTATTAGTAGATGTCTGGATGTTTTTATTTTACAGGTATCCCGGCTGCTTCGCTTGTCACCCCTGCTGATGTCATCAAAACACGACTGCAGGTGGCTGCCCGCGCCGGTCAGACGACTTACTCTGGAGTGATCGACTGCTTCAGGAAGATCTTAAACGAGGAAGGTTTCCGAGCTCTGTGGAAGGGAGCTGGAGGTACACACACACACACGACACTGATATCACTACAGTCACATCCATACTCACTCACAGTCCTCTCTGTTCTCTGTAGCTCGTGTGTTCCGTTCGTCCCCTCAGTTCGGTGTGACTCTGGTGACCTACGAGCTCCTGCAGCGATGGTTCTACATTGACTTCGGAGGACAGTAAGTGCTGATCATGTTAAGCACACTTTTTACTGCATGACGGCAGAAAATGTGAAGTAACGTCTTATGAGAAGATTCACACATCATGCTTGTAAAGCAGAAAGATTAGGCGATATAATATCTGATGGATGAGCTTCATTCAAGGTTGCTATAAAATAGCTGATGTACACAAGTGTTTTTGCGCATCATTTGAAATCTTATTAATGTGCCAACGTTGCTGCTACAAACCATTAAAATGGCTACTAAAACGTTAGATTCATATATTCATTTGAGGTCAGTAAGATTTTTCATTTTGAAAGAAACTAATACTTTTATTATGCAAGGTTTCAATAAATTGATTAAAAATGTCATGAAAAGACATTTATAATGTTACAAAGGATTTCAATTTCAAATAAACGCTGTTCTTTTGATCTTTCTATTCATTGAATAATCCTGAAAAAAATATATCAACCGTTTTCAACACTGATAATAATCAGAAATGTTTCTTGAGCAGCAAATCAGCATATTATTATGATTTCTGAAGATCATGTGACACTGAAGACTGGAGTAATGATACTGAAAATTCAGCTTTGATCACAGAAATAAATTACATTTTTCATTGTATTCAAATAGACCAGTTATTTTAAACTGTAATATTTCACAATATTACTGTTTTTACTGTATTTTTGATCAAATAAATACAGCCTTGTCTTATGTGAGCAAAAGAGACTTCATTCAAAATCATTTAAAAAAGAAACTAGTACAGATTTTTAATGTATGTAATGAAATTTGATAGAATACATATAATGCTTGTTGATGGACTCTATTACTTGGCCAAAAAAAGGTTTTCTGATAATGGTCTTCTTTTTCTTGGAGAAAGGGTGTTGTTGCACTTGGTAAAGCATTTAATTCGGTGGAAATGATCAAACAACTGAGACATATGGCATGTTGAGTCACTTTGGATAAGCTTCTGCTGTAAGAACAAAACTCTTAGTCTCTTTGTCTCTTCCCCTTCCAGCCGCCCTGCTGGTTCTGAACCAACGCCCAAATCCCGGATCTCTGAGCTTCCTCCTGTCAGTCATGAGCACGTCGGCGGTTACCATCTGGCAGCCGCCACCTTCGCCGGTGTGGAGAACAAGTTCGGACTGCACCTGCCCAAGTTCAAATCCTCCGGGGTCACGGCCATTCACTCCGAAACGCCCAAGGAACAAGATGGCGCTTCGTAAAGTCATGCCCCGCCCACCACAGCCTTGTCCTCCAGTGGCTGCATGCCTCCCTCCCGCAGTACATTTGCCTACATTTTACACACTTTTTTTTCTCCTTCGTTTCATTTGAGTTTTTAGGTGGGGGACATGGGAAATTATACTCGTTTTCAGAGTCTGGTAGCTTTAACCCATATCAGTGCCTCAGTTCTGATGAAGAACATTGGTTAAAGCTCAGCGTTAGTGTGTTTTCTGAAGCACAGGGTAGACGTCTGCCACACCGATCGAGACCTAAAGCAACACTTACAGTGAAATTCCTAACAAGGGCTCTCATCAGCCACTGAAACGAAAGCTAAAGAGCTTTTCATGAAACACTCCTGAAAGGAAAACCATGACACGTACTGTTGGTTTTGTGTTCCTCTGATCCCCAAGATGCACATTTGCTGCTTTTGAGTTTTAATCTCATGATTATGATGTATTGATGTGACCGAAGCATGCTGTAGCGCTCTTCATTTGCTCAATAGGCTTTGCGTAGCTTGCACATGTACTGTACTGTATATACATGTACATCTCATGCACAGAGATGTGTCTCTCTCGCTGTCTGCATCACACTGAATGATGTCCAGAGGTTTCAAAACTTGACTGATTGATCGGAGCAAGCATGGTTGATTTGAAATGTAGAAAATTATTTAAAAGCAATTCATTCTTGTATTTTATGGAAATAAATCAATACAGTTCAATTTTATTTCTAGTTTGTGAAGGTTTTATTGAGTTTATTACTGCAAGTTACAAAAGAGGTCGGATAAAGTGAGTTAGTGAAGTCGTTGGAGGACCGAACACGCATGCAAGATCAACACGCTTGTCCTGGTCATGTATATCAGGGATCCCACACAATTTGACCAATGGATTTCCTATGATGTTGCCAGGCATTCATATTTACTGGATGCAAAAAGATGCATGCACAAAGCACTTCTAGCTGAGGAAATATTTTGCATATGATTAGGCTTGTCAAGACTGATGCAATTGGTTTTTTTGACTGTGCTCAATGTGCTTTTGAAAGTCCAATCATATCCAAATAAGGGAATTTTAAGCAAATATGCATTTGAAATGCCTAAAATATTTTAAAATGCTTTTAATAATTTTTTATATTGTCATTGTCATGTGTAGTTATGAATGTTTCATATTCATTATGAATAAGTTAACCCATTAACTGTGTATGGGTATTAAGCTGTTACTATTAAATTGTTCATAATTATTTAACAATTAATCATTAGCCAAACGCTCATAACTATGACAGCCCAAACTATAGAAACTAAAGAAGCTAAAGAAATGTTATTTACACAACTTTCCTGGAGTTGTTAATATAGTGATTTTATAATTTCCATGATCTGATCTGTGTTTGTATGAGCGTGGGACCCTGATGAATATGTTCAGATGTCAGATACTGAGGCAAGTATCCAGAGCTTCCTTCATTTCAGAAAAACCACACTCAATAGAAACGGACAAAAACACACCAGCGTTGATTCAGAAGATTTGTCTAGATTAAGGCAGGTTTGACTTTCTGGACTGCTCAAGTTTATCAAGTACATTTTCATTTGAGATTTTCTGAACCCTTTTAATTTTTTGTCCAAGTTTGACACATATCCATTAAAAACATTACTAAATGCCAATATTTGTTTCGACTTTACACTAAAAATTATATGAATGTAAAAGGGAAGCTATTTTAGGTCTCGAGATTTTGTCACTCAATAATGCTGCGTATACAATATCAAGAAAAACACACAAATTACATAAATACTAATAAAATCCACAGATAATGAATAAACTGAAATATTAAAAATTTCTGCAAGAGCAGTCGCATTATTGGCTGGGAGGTCACTAAATTCAAATTACAAATAAATATGTTAAATTACAGATTAAAATGGAAAATATACATAAATATAACCGGATGCAGATGTTGTCAAGCTGGCTATTAACTACTTGCTTAACCGTTAAAGGAAAAATGTCTTCATAAAATAAATGGCAAAATAATAACACTGTCTATTAGTCTAAATATGTGCCAAAGGGAGGTTTTAGGTTAATGCTAATCAAAGGACCACGGTTTTTCTCCAAGCCCTTTTGAAATAACAAATCATGGGACATTTTTAAAACCGTGATCTATAGATTTCTACCAATGTTTTGCAAAGGGAAAAAAAAAGATTTTTCAGTCATGGAATAAACAAGCACCAAGAGGGCAATGCTGTGATGGAAGATTGTGGATACTTGTGTGTGTGTGTGTGTGTGTGTGTGTTATAAAATTAGCTTTAAGGCATTCAGAAGTTAGAACTGAGTTACATGTTGAAAAGTGTGCTGATTTATGTGCGTTCAGTCTTTATGAGCTAAAAACAAAATGTATTTGTTAAAAAGCTATAAATAATCCAATAAAGTGAAAGGTTATCCAGAAGGGAACGTTAAAAATATTCCACCTCTTTAAAAACACATTTCTCCTGTTACTCAGGTTACTTCAGTGTCTAAAGATGCTGTACAATAGTTTGCATATTGGTAGTGTTAGTGCTGCAGTACAGCAATCAATCCTCCCTTTCCTCCAAATCAGCCTCTAATCCTGGAAATAGATTCAAATATTATAATTCCCGCCTGATATTATTACTCCAAAATGTTTAGCAACACTAAGTGCTTCAGTTGTTAATAGTAAAGTCTTGCTGTCTGAAATAATCCATTTGTCTCTAGAATTAAAAAAAGAGCCGGTCACTAAAATAACTTCAGCGAGGGTGGAGATATGATTGGTCAGCAGGGGTTGCTATGGTGATCATGCAGCCAATCGTTGAGCAGCCAGTTCCTCCACGTCCTCGCGGTTCTCGTTGATCTCGGTGAGCGTGAGCACAAACCGCGTCCATTCGTCCTGCCGCGGCACTGAGATTTGCTGCAGGAAAAACGATAATGTGTTTCAATGCCCACAGCTGCAGAACTTCATTTAATTGTATTTTTGAAAGCGTCCTCACCTCTCCAACGTCATAAATGTGCACCTGGCCCTCAGAGTCGCCGACAGCCACCTCTCGTCCCGAATGAGCCCAGCGCACACGGTTCAGCGCGGGGTGTCCCTCCACCGTCACGCTCGCTGTGGGAACCTGAAGCAGCAGATAAACATTCATTCAAGACTTGTGGATTTGTTCAGATTATATTTCTAGGAGATTTTTGTACCTCTGTTTCGTTGTTGAGGTTCCACAGGTCCAAATGTCCGACTCCGTCCACGCAGGCAAACAGCGCGGGGTGTGTGGGAGACCACATGACGTCATACACGTAGTCTGAATTATCCTCGAAAGAGTACAAGGGCTTATTGTTCTGTCAGGAGAGACACACACAGACCAACGTTCAGCGTTATTGTTGACTAAACCTATTAAATATTGCTTTCATTCATTGAAATAGCAGATATTGCATAAAAATATTAAAACTTAAACAAAACAAAAAAACTTTACGTTTCAGTAAAGGTTCTAAATTTAAAGTTCCAAAATTGCTCAAACTAAAACTGAAATAAAAATAAAGTGGTTTTGTCAGGTGAGATGCAAACAGAGCAGTGCAGTTATTGCTAACTAATTAACTAAATAAAAATGAAATTGTTAACTGAAATAAAGATAAAATTAAATTAAACTGAAATCAAATATAAATATTCAATAAAAACTGGAATAAAATAAGTTGAAGTACTAAAATCTGAAATAAAAATGAATGAAAGCGTATTGTTCTGTCAGGAGAGACACAAACAGACCAGCGCTTTGAATCGAAACTATTAGAAATAATTTGTGTTCATTCAAATAAAGCAGAAATAACATCAAATATAAATACAAGGTGAAAACCTAAACTTGTAAATGTAAATGAAAATTAGAATCTGTAATAAAATAAGTTTAAGTACTAAAAATACTAAAACGGAAATACAAATAAAGTTAAACTAAATAATAGAAATGACAAAACATACTTTAACAAAATTACTCGAATGAACTAAAATGAAAATCAAAACAAAAAATAAAGGGTAATTCAAATTTATATTAATAAATACTATATTAGTGTATAAACAATGTTTGTAGTGTTAATATCAGTAGTGTGTTTGGCACCTTGGTACTCCAGAGTTTGACGGTCCAGTCAAAGGAGGAAGTGACAAACAGGTGAGAGAAGTCGACCGGTCCTGACGCTGTGTGGCAGTCGAGGCCTGTGATTGGTCCATGATGACCCTCAAACATCTCACTGATGCCCGCTTTACTACAACACACACACACACACACACACACACACAAAGCACCAATATAAACCACTTGTACAGATGTGAAACGGACACAATAACATCAGCGCTCACACACTCACCTGCCGTGTCTGCAGGCGGTGTAGACGGACCCATCCTCACTGCCCACCACAAAGTTATTGACGTCCCCCAGAGGAAATGACATGGAGGTGACGGCCACTGACTTGGACTGTTTGAACACGAGCTCCAAACTGTCCTACACACACACACACACACACACACACACACAGACACAGACACACAGAGAGACACACACACACACACAGAGACACACACACACACACACACACACAGAGACACAGACACACAGACAGACACACACACACACAGACACAGACACACAGAGAGACACAGACACAGACACACACAGAGAGACACAGACACAGACACACAGAGAGACAGACACACACACACACACACTCTCAGAGACACACACACACACACACACACACACACAGAGAGACACACACACACACACAAACACACACACACACACACACCCGTGAATTTGACTGCTGTTGTGTGACTGGATGAATGCGAGACAATGAATGGCTCTGTTTTTGTTTTGGTGACATTTTTAGAAATCATAGAATTTTTATATTAATGCATTTGGCAGATACTTTTTTCCAAAATGACTTGTATTGCATTCAAGGTATATATGGTTTATCAGTTTATGCATTGCCTGCGAAAAGTGTGGGTCGGTAAGATTTTTATAATGTTTTGTGAAAAAACTGCATTTATTTGAATTTTTACTATCACTTTTTGATCAGTTTAATGTGCCATTGTTGAATAAAAGTAATAAAAATAAAAAAAAACCTTACTAAAGAACTTACTGATCCCAAACTTTTGAACAGTAGTTTATCTAGAGGCCTTGTGTGTGTTACCTAATTAAATTAATTAAAAATAAATAAATAAGAGGTAACTAACAATCTATAAATTATAAATAAATGAATTAAAATAAGTAAATAAATAAATTATAAATTAATTAATTAATTAAAAACAAATAACTAAATACATAATTTATTAATAAATAATTGAAATAAATTAATTACACAATAAATAATTAAATTAAAAAATACATTAAATTAAAATAACAAATAAATAACACAGGAAACCTAAAAATTCCTAAAAATCCATCTGTTGATGAGTTTCTGAATGCTTTCGGGGAGGGTGATGGAAACATGTTCAAAAACATTTTTTTTTTAAATTTCTGCAGAAATGACCTTTAAAATAGTTAGACAGCATTTAGCTAGCTATGCTAATTCACATCATATTCACATGAGCTGTGTTACCTGCGGCGTGGTCAGCATGTCCAGACTCCAGGAGCACATCTTGCCGTCAGTGGAGATGCTGATGAGATTGTGAGCGTTCTGCGTCCCCACCACATTCACACAGTACACCGGGTGCTGCAGACACAGAGGATTGAGAACAGTGCAGATGAAGATGATGAGGATGATGCAGATGAGGAGGTGTTTGTCTGTGTGTACCGTGTGAGCCGAGGCGGAGAGCGGCGTCCTCTGCACAGGGGTGCATTTGTTACTGCGGTTGTCCCACAGGACGATCTGCCCCGAGTACGTGCCTCCAACCACCAGATTAGGATGAAACTGTGCAAACGCTGCTGACATCACTGCAGACTGAACACACATATTCCATGAGACATAATATTTGATCAAATAAACTGACCAAATGACTAATATTAAAAACTACATTTATTTTAGCATGTACTTTCTTCTTAACCTTCTGTTCACATATTGACTTTGTGGACATATTATCACCTCTCAGCAGACAGATGTTGAAGAATTTTTAGGTTTACTGTGTGCTTGCTTGTATGTATATGTATGCATGTCTTTATTTATTCTTTCATTTATGCATTGAATTAATTTGAATTAATCATCCATCCATTTTCCAAAATTCTTGTGCTCTTAATTAATTATTTTATTTTATTTGAATGAATTCATCCATCCATCCTCAAACTTGTGCTCTACTTTAATTAACTGATTTTTAAAAATTGATATTATTTATTATTTAATTGTTTATTATTTTTTATGTATTTATTTAAATTAATTAATCCATCCATCCAAACCGCTTGGTTAACTCATTGATTAATTTTTAAATATGTATTCTTTTTAACGTAATCATTTATTATCATCATCATTATTATGTTTCTCAACGATTCTCAACTTATTTCTATGGCAAAAATAAAAGTCCCAGTCTGATTTACAATCTTTTTCATTTTCATGAAATAAATAAGATGTGCTCTTGAGGACAAGACCAGAATAATGCCAAGACAAAACAATAATTTACATTATTTAATGCATATCTTTCACAGAGATATGCATTAAGCTCATCACCTGGCAGTGGAAGACATATTCCGGTGTGGTTTTCTTATATTTCATGTTCCAGACGAGAGCCACACCGTCGGGCTCATGTGGAGCGTCTTCATTACTGCTGTATGACGCCACCAGCAGCTCTGGGTACTGATGTGAAGGACAGAAAACAGGACAAGAGAGGGAAACTTCACTGGAATAGTCATAAAAAGCAGTCACAGAACAAAGTTTGCATGATCACGTACCTGCGGTGACCAGTCGAGACAGGTGACGACTCTGTGTTTAGACCAGCGCTCGTCCGCAAACTGTCTGTTCAGGGAGAGTTTGGCTCCAGCCTGAGACTCTCTGAAACAAACACAATTCCACAACAACAAATGACACATCGCACACCAGAGACAAACCACATCTGCTGACAGATAAACACACTCACCCCTCTTTATCCTGAAGGTCTCGTCCGCTGTAGTCGAAAAACACGTCCACCTGCTCAGAGAGAGCACGCTCCACGATTCGAGAGCTGTGGTCAAAGAAAGTCACGAACTCCTCCGAGTGAAGAATCTGCTGCTTCTCTTCCTCCGTCAGCTCATGAGGGGGCGCTACACACAGAAACAGTTTCCTTCAGCAGTTGAAAAGCTGCAACTGGATTTCACGTCTAACTATGTTTGAGCACTACCTTCCTCTTCCTCTTTCTGAGAGTCTTTCTCCTCTTGATGCTCCAGAGCAGGCTGCGTCACTGCCAAATCCTCCTCCTCTTCCTCATCTACAGACAGCAGTGAAGGAGTTCAATTTCATTCGCACACTGATGCATTAAAGAAAAGCAGCGTGTGTGTGTGTGATTTACCGTCTTTGTGATGAGTCTGTGTGGGCGTCTGGGTCTCTTTTGTGTACGACACCAGCTCTCTGGGCGGGAAATCCACCTGCGTGACCTTTGACATGCCCAACTTCAGCGGGCCACGTCTGCAGAAAATACAGATGCATATGTTAAGACCAAAAAAGACTGTGGGACACTGTAATAACAAATAATTAAATGAAAAAAAAATGTTTTCATTAATTAAAAATATTGAGTAATTAAATGAAAAACAATAAATAATTAAATTAAATTAATAACAATTAAAAAAAAGGAAAAATAATAAATATCTAAATTATAAACAACAAACAAATTAATTACAAAAATGAAACGGTAAAAACAATAAATAATTTAATTAATTAATTACAAAAAAAAACTAAAACACAAATTAAAAATAATAAATAAATAGTACATTATTTAAATAAAATTAATTATTTAATTACAAAATTGATTTGTTAAAAATAATTACTAAATTAAAACTAATAAATAGAAAATAACAATTAAATGTAATATAATAAATAACTACATTTTTAAAACGAATAAATAAACAAACAAACAGCATGCAGAAAACCCAGAAATTAATAAAACTTAATCTGCTGAGGTGTGATAATGTTCACAAAGTCAGTATGTGAATTACAGGTTTATGGGAGGCTTGAACCTGTGCAAGGATGTCAAAATAAAAGGTTGAGGGAGCCTTATGAAGTAAATGCTCAACTAAATATAGTTTTAATTCTGTATGTTACACAAGGAACATTCCATGTTGGCCAGAAAAGGTAAATATAGCAACAGTATGATGTCTGAATGCTTTCCAACAGGAAATAAGATTGTACAGTTATATTGACAAATCATGGGTCACTCTACCTGGACTCTCTGTTTAATGACAAGCGGGGGGAGTCTGATGGAAACATGTTCGAAAACTATTTTTAAATTCTGAAGAAAATACCTTTAAGATAGTTAGACGGCATTTAGCTAGGGGTGTTGAAGGGACATGTAAATCACATCGTTCATCATTACCATCCATGAAAAAAGCAAGACATCAAGATTGACAGAAGGATAAATGAAGGAGTGGCGGGTAACAGAAGGAGAGAACGCAGGTAAAGTGCAGCAGGAGTGATGGTTAATGAGAGAGAGAGAGAGAGACAGCAGTACCCGAGCTGAGAGTCTGAATGGAGCAGCAGAGTAGAGGGGTCAGAGTCCCAATGAAGAGTCCTGTTACTGTTATACACTAATATACATGTGCATGCACACACATGAGCTTCACATACTACACAATATAATACAGAGAAACTCACATTTGTAATATAATAAAGTTTATCTGCACGTCTGTGTTTATTAGGGCTTGGCGTTTTAAACATGTGATGGTTGAAATGTGTCGACTGTTTTTGCTGTACCAGGTCCACCGTGGGAGAAAGTATTAAAATCCCTTCTTTTTCATGTTTTAGCATTATGATAGGACTTATGCTTAAAAAAAAAAAGCTTTAAAGATTTTTATTTTCAGTTTTTCAAGATGCGAAAAAGTATATGAATGTTTTCTTAATGTACTGTATGTAATCATTGAAATTTTGATACACAAAAAAAAAGAAACGCACTAAAACCGAAAACAGTGCCAGCCTGCAGTGATGAGTTTATTGCACTTTTTCCAACACTTTGAAAGAAATTACTAATAAAGAAAATAATTTTGAGTTTCTGAAAACTCAAACCATTTAATAAAATGTAATATAAAATGTGTGACAGATTATAAGAATGGGGAAAAAAGATGAAAAGATGTTAAAACATGATGTGTGAATGTGAAATACAGAGCGTGAAGCAAAGTTTAGGTGTCCTAGTTGTTTAAGTTTGCCAGGCAACATATTAAAATCTATGTTTTGCATTGCAAAGTGGTTTTTTAATAATTTATGTCATGAATGAAGAAAAAAAATAGGATGCAGAATCTTTATTTTGTAAATTATTTAATTCAGTTAATTATCCAAAAACAGGCATTATCACGTAGTATTTTAAAGTATAAACTATATTTGAATAGAATTTCAAGCAAAATGAACGACATCACCGTTCATACGTTTGGGGTCATTAAGATTTTCTAATGTTTTTGAAAGAAGTCTCTTCTGCTCACCAAACCTGCATTTATTTGATCAAAAACACAGTAGAAATCGTAATATTGTGAAAAATGATGAATATATTGTAAAATGTAATTTATTGCTGTGATCAAAGCTGAATTTTCAGCATCATTACTCCAGTCTTCAGTGTCACATGATCTTCAGAAATCATTCTAATATGCTGATTTTCTGCTCAAGAAACATTTCTTATTATTATCAATGTTGAAAACAGTTGTGCTGCTTCATATTTTAGTAGAATAATTTATTTAGGATTCTTTGATAAATAGAAAGTTATTTGAGATAGAAATACAAATGTCTTTAAAGTCACTTTTGATCAATTTAACGCATCTTTGTTGAACAAAAGTAGTATTTTTTATCTTACTGGCCCCAAACGTTTAAATGGTAGTGTATATACGGTTATGTTGATATAAATGTATTTCTGATGTCAGTGTACACATGTGTGTCTCACCTCGGCCCCGTGCCGCCGTCTCCTGAGTCCTGGCTGCCTGTTTCGCTGGGTGTGCCCACTGATTTGGCAGAGGGGGACATGGGAGGGGGGACTAAATAGTGAAACAGACACGTATCTTCTGTTACCACATGCAGAGGTTGCACTACGCACACACACATCCACATGCGCAAGCAAAGCCAAGGGGGTGTTTGACATAAAAAAACGAGCAAAAAAACATGAAAATAAAAAAGTAGGTAAGCAACAACCAGCGAGAGCAGGGTGGTGTAATAATCACGATGAAGCAGCAGCAACAAAGAGGATTGAGCAAAAAAAAAAAGAGAAGACAAAAAGGACAGTGGTTAATATTCATGCAGGATCCACATGCGTTAAAAAGAGATCAGTGCTCAGTCCCAACCAAACCAAATTAATTCATGAAGAATGAAGAAATAATGAACATTGAAACCAGATGGAAATGGATAACACACTAAACAAATGAGTTTATTTTAAGGTTTTGGGTTTCTGTCAGGTGGTCAGGATAGGTGAGCAGCTAACCAACCAGCCAAACCAGCTTAGGCAGGTTTAAATAGGTCATATCATATGTTTCTTAAGGAATAATAACTGGTATCCAGTTTTCTGCTTATTATCTCACAGCTGTGATTTAAGGGATAGTTCACCCAAAAATGAAAATACGCTCATCATTTACCCTCATGTGTTCCAAACCTGTTTAGAAGATATTTTGAAGAATGTTAGTAACCAAACAGTTGACGGTAGCCATTGACTTCCATATTATGGAAAAAGATACAATGGAAGTCAATGGCTACCGTCAATTGTTTATTAACCAACATTCTTCAAAATATCTTCTTTTGTGTTCAGCAGAAGAAAGAAACTCATACAGGTATGAAACAAGTGGAGGGTGAGTAAATGATGCCAGAATGTTCATTTTTGGGTGAACTATCCCTTTAACATGTAAACACGTAAGGTGTTAATATGTAAATCTGTCTGATGAACAGAAAAATGTTGAAGAAGTTCAGAACAGGCCATGGACCCTTTTCACATTTCCAGTCCGCCAAACGCATTTCTATAACTTTCCAAAAGAGGAAAAAATATCAACACTCAACATTCGCGCAGCAGTGTTAACTAGTTTCTGTAATGTAATGCCAGTGCAATATATAACACAAAGTATAGTGTCATAAATATGGAAGCCCATTTCCGTCACTGAATAAAAAATTAAAAAGGTAACTGTGACTTTTTATCTCACAATTCAGACTTTTTTTCTCATAATTGTGTGATATAAACTCGCAATTGCGAGTTATAAAGTCAAAATTGAGAGATATAGTCACAATTGAGAGATAAAAACTCGCAATTCTGACTTATCACGCAATTCTGAGAAGAAACAGTCTGAATTGTGAGATAAAAAGTCACAATTACTTTTTTAATTTTTTATTCAGCGGTGGAAACGGGCTTCCATACATAAATGTACACTGAACTTTTAAAAAATTACAAATAAAAATGTTGCTATGATGTTTTATGATGTTAATAACAGTGAAAATGCATCAGTCTGTGAAAAGGGTCCATTTATAAATAGTCTGAAAGTGACAGAATATACACATATACATATATATTCTTCCGATATGACCCCTTTTTGTCATTAGGTTGTAGTTTACTATTAAGAAAAGCATGCTTGTTTAGCAAGCCTAATTTAATTTCCCATGCTGCTTAGCTGTTTCATACCCATGGAGGCGTCCACTATCCCCATGCTCTGCAGCAGAGCCTCTGCCTCCCTCCTCTTCCTCTCCAGATCAGAGTCATCCTGCAGAGGAGACGCTCCCTCCTTCCGTCCATCCAGCTAGAGCAGCAGAAGAGAGAGAGAGAGAGAGAGAGAGAGAGAGAGAGAGAGAGAGAGAGAGAGAGAGAGCGAGAGTGAGTGAGTGAGTGAGTGAGCGAGAGAGAGAGAGAGCGAGAGAGAGAGAGAGAGAGAGAGAGATTGTTTCAGTATAACAAAGACAAAGAGATCAAATCCCTGCAGTTCCACCACAGCTCACCTCTTTCTTCTTACGTTCTTCTTCTTTCCTCTTCTTCTCCTCTCTGATCTGGGCCAGTCGCTGTTTCTTTCTCTCTAACTCTGCTTTCAGCTCACTTTTGTCAGACATTCTGCCAACAGATTTAAATCAGTGTATTTGCAAAGAAAGCCTTTAGATGTTTGTCAGTAAACCCAAAAGATTGCATAGCATATGTAGTGGTATTAATTGGGACATAATACAATTACAAAAATGAAACAGGTAACACTTTAAAATGACAAATTATAAGACATTTGATTTATTTGCTGATGCTTATATTTCTGTGGTTTTGATAATGGTATGAGTTATAACTCAATGTTAAAACAATAATTATTAAAATTATAAATAATGATAACCAGTGATATTTTAGTATCTTTGAAATACTACAGATTTGTTGGTTTTATAATTAGATTTTATTTTTTAATTTTGTTATCAATTTAAGTTTTAGCAATTTTATTAGTTATTTTATGAGTTTTTTTGTACATTTTTGTTTATTAGTTTTAGTTATTTCATGCTTTAAGTTCAACTAAACAAAAAAGAGAAATATTACTTGAAAATATTTGTTCAGTTTATTACTAAAATAAACTAATTTGACTTTTTTTCAAAAGTAATTTTATTTCAGTAAAGTAATTTTTTTTTTCATTTAGATTTATGCATTTCGCTTTTATCACTTTTATCCAAAGCAACAAAAGAGGAGCAAAACAATTAGTCAAAGCGTCAACAATATTCATAACACAATGCCAGGTTTATTAGACAACTGGATTTCAAGTACCTTTTTTTATGGTTTTAATTTTAGTTATCAGTTAACCATAATAACCCTGATTATAATTTATTATCCTAATGTTTCATATGCTGTTTCATATTACATGAGCAGTCTGGCCATTCAGACAATATCACACACATCTGATGGCGCTGAGGTCACTCTGGTCCACAACACCTCCACGAGCATACTTTAGTGTTTCAGAGTTGGGCAAAGGTCAGAATTTGAGAACTGGCTCCTTTTGATCCATATTATGTATGTATTTATTATTTAATTAATTAATTTGTTAGTTTGTTTGTATGCTGCTTGGATTTATTGAGCTTGTGTTGAACAATGATAATGCCTGCTTGTTATTTGAAGAGGTCTAATAAAGGTTTAAAAACCAATTCAATAAAAATTAACACCAATTTCAGAATTTCAGATGTCTATTTCTCAGATGTTCATGAATTTTCAGCTTCATAACACCATATTGATTAATTATAGCAATTTATTCTCTCACATGTAGAATGCATTAGAATCCATTTAAAATGTTATTGTGTCTAATGTTTCTGGAAATACTCTTGTGTGTAAAATAACATGTTTGTGTGTAATTCATTCTGAAACATGAAACATTAAAATCATTATTAATTACAATAGTTATATTGATTTCTTAAATTCTACTACCTTAAACTCAAACTTGAATTATAATTCTGTGTCTGTGCTGCTTTATATTAAATTCAGGCACTGAACTGGAATTGCATGAGGTTTTTAAGTTTTAAGATGGGCACACATCCCTGTTTTCAGTACTTTAATTTTTTTTAAATAAGAAATCAAAGTTATTTACTTCATGCACAATAACCTTACATAATATAAAATAATTGATTATTGATGTTTACTAAAAGACAGCTCCATGTCCATGTAGCCTGATAAGAGTTTGTTCAATGATACCACACAGACAGACAGACAGACACACACCACACACACACACACACACACACACACACACACACACACGGGACACTCCTGTAAGAGTCCCGGATGGTCAGTCGATATGACTGCATAACGAAAACGCCGGTGAAAGCTCGCAAACTAACATAAGATCATCAGTTTGGAATCATAATTGCTCATGGGATCATTAATGACATCTAATTAGATTATCTGTTGGTCTGAAGTGCATTAAATACATAATCTGTCTGGTTGCATCAGCTTTTTTCCCTAAACCATTTAATTGATGTTTTACAAACACAATGCATTAGGAATTCATCCTGTGCTTTGTTGTAAATTAATTTCAGTAAGGTGTTTTATAAGGTTATAATGTAAAGGAGAGTTGAAGCGCACACGTCAGACGGCCTCTCGGCAATCAATGAAGAAACATCGCCATCAAAAACACACAATAATGCAGTCCAAACACCAAGAACCCTGCTGGTTAATCAAGAAAATCATTACTCTTACATGAATTAAATGTTAGCGGCTCGGAGTCGTTATGGAGAGGATTATTCTTCTGTCAGCTGACTAATAACTTACTATCCTCTTGCTGTGACAGCGCTGAGTCTGGATGCGGCTACGGGTGCCGTGAAGGGCTTTTCTCAATCACAGCGGACGAGGCGTTGCATAAACTGACCGCTAGAGGGCGCCTTCATTTGATTGATTAGTGATGAACTTTTCTGCCTTTTGCACGCAGCATAAACCCTACATAATTTACTGACGCAGATACTTAATAAAAGGTTACAATTAGATGCAAAATAATCTAAATAACATTTAGATACAAAATAAATGGAAACCCAACAAAAAATAAACAAAATTATCAAGTATTGAAGAAGATTATATTAAGAATTAAGTTATGAAGAAGATTTTTGCTTTATCTATTGCTTTATCGATTAACTCAATCATTCTAAGAGTAAGGGCCAGAGACAGTAGGGAGAAATTTAAATGAAAAGGAATATAAATAAATAAATACTAAAAATAAAGGATAAACATTAAGAAGTTTTAATAAAATAAAAGTAAAAATTTAATATTTAGAAGAATTAAATATTTAATACACTGGATTTACATACTGTAATAATCATTTAAAAATAAACTATACACTAAGTCTATAAAATGTGCATGATGCTTTCTATCAATTTAAACCCACATGGAAAAAATACATATGCAAAAATGACCAAAAAATATATATATTTTCTACACACACACACATTTTTGAAAATATTTAAAGCATTTAAAAATATATTTTGCCCTTCATATATTTCAACCCAAGAAAGTACATTCATATATGTCACATTTAATGAAAATCTATTTGTTGACACATTTTATAAAAAATCAGCAAGGAACATACTTTACAATGTAAAAAAAACAAAACAATATTCCATCCACATTTTTGCATTTAGCCTAAATGGAGGCTACTGTAAGATTAGAAATGCATTTTCTTGCCCCTGAAGTACATTTTGAAATCTATTTTGGTATGTGAAGGCTAAAATTAAATACATTTTCAATTTTACAAATATATATTATTGAGCTTGGCTCTTTACAACATATATTTAGCATATATTTAAATATATAATTTGGGCAGATGATATTTGACACAGCTGTATGTCTCTTTGCAGGTATTGCATCAGAGGAATGGGTTCACATGTACCTGATGTACGAGTATGACGTTTAAGCAATGAGTAAATAAATTATTTTTTTACTTGTGTGTTCAGCCACTCCAGGCTGGCACTTTCCTGCTATAAAAGGAAAGATGAACATGTGTAGGAGGTAGATGCAGAGCTCTATTTATGGCACTTGTTCATGCTTTGTCAGGTGTTATTGTCCTTGTTTAAGTGTTTTATAAATGAACAGATGTGAGTCTGAATGTAATGTATATATTTTCAGTTAGCAGTGCAAACATTTGTGCATAATCAGTACTGAAATATAAATCAATGTCTTGATGATGCACTTATTTGTTCACCAAGATTCTGCCATCAGCAATAAAAAGAGACTCATTTATTCATTCATATCTTTATTCAACATGCCAGCACCATATGAAAAAATAGCACAAAGAGCTTGTAAAGCAATAGTTCACCCAAAAATGAAACATTTCATTTGCATCTCTTTTCCATATGACAAAATGGAATGACAATTTAGTGACTAAGAATATCAAACAACAACAAAAAAGCATCCTAAAATTATAGCTCATGTTACTTCTCAAGTCTTCTGAAGTCATATGATATTTGTGAGAAACGCACTGAAAAAAATGGTTACCTATGGTGACATCTAAATCAGCTGCTTTTAAATTTGATGGGTTTAAACAGGTAAAACATCACAAAAAAATGCACATTCTCCATTCTGCATATTCAAAATAGTGCACTGTGTTATTATAACATGTGTGTGAAACAATGGCATTTTTGCATAAATAATACCAAAGCTGGCTAAAAACAATGCAAGTGAAAAATAATGCTGTTTTTCTTTTTCCACCACACCCTGTTTGCCAATGCATTTGGTGATTTCATTCATGAAGTGTTGTGAATTTGATACATGAGCGGAAATATGACAACCCGAATATGAGATTCATTCATATCTTTATTCAACATGCCAGCACCATATGAAAAAATAGCACAAAGAGCTTGTAAAGCAATAGTTCACCCAAAAATGAAACATTTCATTTGCATCTCTTTTCCATATGACAAAATGGAATGACAATTTAGTGACTAAGAATATCAAACAACAACAAAAAAGCATCCTAAAATTATAGCTCATGTTACTTCTCAAGTCTTCTGAAGTCATATGATATTTGTGAGAAACGCACTGAAAAAAATGGTTACCTATGGTGACATCTAAATCAGCTGCTTTTAAATTTGATGGGTTTAAACAGGTAAAACATCACCAAAAAATGCACATTCTCCATTCTGCATATTCAAAATAGTGCACTGTGTTATTATAACATGTGTGTGAAACAATGGCATTTTTGCATAAATAATACCAAAGCTGGCTAAAAACAATGCAAGTGAAAAATAATGCTGTTTTTCTTTTTCCACCACACCCTGTTTGCCAATGCATATGCAAGTGTTGTGAATTTGATATATGAGCGGAAATATGACAACCCGAATATGAGTGTGTGTGTGTGTGTGTGTGTGTGTGTGTCTGTGTGTGTGCTGGAGCTTGTGTGCATGATTCAGGGACTTGTTTCATGGTGAAGTCATTTCTGTGTGTGTGTGTGTGTGTGTGTGTGTGTGTGTCTGTGTGTGTGCTGGAGCTTGTGTGCATGATTCAGGGACTTGTTTCATGGTGAAGTCATTTCTGTGTGTGTGTGTGTGTGTGTGTGTGTGTGTGTCTGTGTGTGTGCTGGAGCTTGTGTGCATGATTCAGGGACTTGTTTCATGGTGAAGTCATTTCTGTGTGTGTGTGTGTGTGTGTGTGTGTGTGTGTCTGTGTGTGTGCTGGAGCTTGTGTGCATGATTCAGGGACTTGTTTCATGGTGAAGTCATTTCTGTGTGTGTGTGTGTGTGTGTGTGTGTGTGTGTGTGTGCGTATGTGGAAGAGATGAGCAAAGGCCCTGTAACCTACATCTCCTTTGTCTTTTGCCATATGACAAAGGGCCGTTGTAGTTTCCATGGCAACGTTGTGTGCATGATTCAGGGACTTGTTTCATGGTGAAGTCATTTCTGTGTGTGTGTGTGTGTGTGTGCATGTGTGGAAGAGATGAGCAAAGGCCCTGTAACCTACATCTCCTTTGTCTTTTGCCATATGACAAAGGGCCGTTGTAGTTTCCATGGCAACATGTCTGTGACTAAAAATCAGGTTATGGGTTAGCAGGTGTCTGAACACGCATGTTTCTATATATCTGCAGATGCAACAGGCATAAAAGTCACCTGTAACCACAACCACATTATTTCAACTAGGGTCTGATAGGTAGCACAAAATGCACAGATGTATCTTGAAACAAAAACAATTTCTCACCCTCAGGCCATTCAATATGAAGATGAGTTTATTTCTTCATCAGAACAGATTTGGAGAAATGTAGCATTGCATCACTTGCTCAGCAATGGGTGCTCTGGAGTGAATGGGTGCCGTCAGAATGAGAGTCCAAACAGCTGATAAAAACATCACAATAATCCACAAGTAATCCACACCGCTCCAGTCCATCAGTTAATGTCTTGTGAAGTGAAAAGCTGTGTGTTTGTAAGAAACAAATCCACCATTAAGATGTTTTATTTTTAAACCTTCAATTCTGGCCAAAATATGATTCCATAATCCATAACGCTTCCTCTAGTGAAAAACTCCATCCCCTGTTTTCTCTCACACCAAAATCCACCCACATATATTTAGAACTGTTTTGGATTGTTTTCACTAGTAAATGGTGCTTGATCTGTGCATATTTCTCTCCTAATTCAGATGACTTTTTCACTGGAGAAAACAATATATGGACTCATATTTTAGCCAAAAGCAATGGTTGGAAGTTTAAACTCCTTAATTATAGATTTGTTTCTTGTAAACACGCACCTTTTCTCTTCACAAAAAGTTTTTATCAGCTGTTTGAACTCTCATTCTGATGGCACCCATTCAAGTCAATCAAGCCACCTTGATTTCTCTAGTGCTTTATACAATACAGATTATGTCAAAGAAGCTTCACAGTCATGAACAGAATCAATTATGCAGCTCTAACAAGACAATAGTGTCATTATTTAACTCAAGTCAGTTCAGCGTTGGTTCAGTTCAGATCAAAAACAGTATGAAGTTCATCAATTTGAGAAGTTCAGCTAAAAGGCATTCACTGCAGAGGATCCATTGGTGAGCAATGGATGTAATGCTTAAAGGGTTAGTTCACTCAAAAATGAAAATTCTGTCATTAATTACTCACCCTCATGTCGTTTCAAACCCGTAAGACCTTCGTTCATCTTCGGAACACAAATTAAGATATTTTTGATGAATTCTAAGAGCTCTCTGACCCTCCCATAGACAGCAAGGTAACTACCACGATCAAGGTCCAGAAACGTAGCAAGGACATCGGTAAAATAATCCATGTGACATCAGGGGTTCAACCGTAATATTACAAAACTACGAGAATACTTTTTGTGCGCAAAAAAAAGTGTGGTGCGGCTGACACAGGGCAACATACGCTGTTTGCGTTCAGTGGATACTCTCCAAAATGGCGCTAGGGTGACGCGGAGGAGACAAATTGTTGAATAAAGTCATTATTTTTTCTTTTGCGCACAAAAAGTATTCTTGTAACTTCGTAATATTACGGTTGAACCCCTGATGTCACATGGATTATTTTACCGATCTCGTTGCTATGTTTCTGGACCTTGATCGTGGTAGTTACCTTGCTGTCTATGGGAGGGTCAGAGAGCTCTCAGAATTCATCAAACATATCTTAATTTGTGTTCCGAAGATGAACGAAGGTCTTACGGGTTTGAAACGACATGAGGGAGAGTAATTAATGACAGAATTTTCATTTTTGAGTGAACTATCCCTTTAATTTCTCCAAATCTGCTCTGATGAAAGAACTCATCTACATCTAGGATGGCCTGAGGGTGAGTACATTTTTAGAAAATTTTCATCTTGGGTAAACTGTTCCTTTAAGCAACTTTGTTA